TAATAATAATAATAATAATAATAATAATAATTCATTTATATGTCTAAATGGCATGTAACCCAGTCTCCAGGTCAGAATGAGACAAAATGCCCTGCATCTCATTTCAAAAGGTGAAACAAAGAAAAAAAAACAACAACCCTCCCCCACGTCTGAGAGAGAGAATGATCTTAATCACAATTTTGAAATAAAAGCACTGGCTGAACCATTTTAAACAGAAAACCAACAAATGAGGAAAATAAAATGAAACAGTTCAGCCCATAACACTTTCTCAAATGTTTCATAAATTGAAGCATCACTTCTTTGTCTTCAAATGAAATAATTTTCACACTTTACCCTGAGTTAGTTAGTAAAACACATCTGTTTTCATGCAAGTCAAGGGTTCCAATGGAGCTGTAAAACAAATAAAACGGCCTTTCTGCTGCCCGCGCGCACCGCACACAATCCTCTTCAAAACACAGCTTGCGGCAGGAGGGGAAAACGACCGGGGCCCTCGGTCAGAACCCCACACAGCCGCCCCTGCTTAAGGAGGAGAGCGCACGCGGCTGAAAACACAGCAGTGCCCAAAATGCTCTCCATTAAGTGTTAGTGATTAATAAACATGATTCACGGACAGACAAACTGTTATCAGTTATTGATTTTAACATTTGAATCACATTGGTCTGCAGTAACCAACTTATAAAAACGTCACATACCCGTAGACACAAACGTCCTCGCTGTCAGCGCCATCTTGGTTCATGTTTTTAGCCTGGTCTCGAAATGAACACTCATCTGGTCTCATTCTGCGGCTGTAAACTCAGACATCTCTGCCCTACTTAATCGACATTTTAAAAACAAAATGTCGGCACCGCGGTCACGGTGGAAGACCCCCTAGCCTACAGATGTCTCCCCAAATGGGAAACAAGACGGCAGCAGATAACGTGTATTAGCCTGCCCGTAACTCACCGTGGATGACCCAGTTGTCATCCAGGCTACATTAAAAACCAGAAAGCCGACCTTTCTGCCTTTAATCTCGGTGCGGAATGAAGCGTTCCCACACCTACACTCAGCTAGTGTCATAACAGCCTCAGAAAGACCAGATCAGCGTCTAAAATTTATAATTTCAATGTGTACGGCCTGAAATATTAGCCGTAGCTGTTTAGCATAGCGTGCTAATGAAAACGTTAGCTCACCCGTTGTGGCTCATGGCGGAAACCATAGCTTTTAGCTTACTCTGACGCTAATCAGGGCCGAGTGGTGGACGAACTTAGTCCCAACACATTCAAATCGTGCTAACACTGCACTACATATAATCTCCTTAAAACAGAAGATTCGGCGGCCGCCTTTTTCAAACTGACTTTTCAGCCTACCCTGTTCACTCCTGGAACAGCAAATGGAAAGCTAATTTTCCCTCAGCAGCTAGCCTGAGCTAACTGCCTACTTTAAAACAGTAAAGCCGACCTTTCTGTTTTAAAACTCGGATCTGGAATTTGAACGCTCCCAGCATCCTTACCTCGGCTAAAAAACAGTCAGCCCCTCATAGCAGAGCAGAGCGAGAACCTAATTAATAGATTTTTAGAGTGTGCTAGGCCTGGTAAGTTAGCTGTAGCACTTTCACTTATATATTTATTTCCGACAGCGTAAAGTTATTTAGCTCACCGTGCTTCCGTCCAGACAGGTTCTTTTCAGCCCCAGTGCCGAAGCGCAACCCCCGCAGCAGCCGTCTGCCCGAACGGACACACGAAACCCCGGAGCAGATGAAGCATCGCTGTCGCCATGTTGGCGATCCCGTCCGAAGCAAAACAGACCGGCTGCTGCGCGCGCCGCTCCGAGTCCCTGGAAAGCTTCCGTAGTCGTGATGCCAAACTGTCGCGGGAAGATGCTCAAAAACACGGCGAGAGGGTGTTAAAAGGACAAATAGTCTTGCGGGGTATGTTCGTAAAGTAATTTATTATGGAGCAGACATGAAACAGAAAACAATCAAAGAAGTCTGTCAGATGTGGCTCGCCGTCATGGCAGCCAGCTGTACTGATATACTGTAAGCTAACATCGTGTGATAATGAACAACCAATCAGAATCTGCCTCGTTCTGGTACATGAAGTAGGTCAGCTTGAAGATGACGTTCAGACGATATCATGAGATATGAACAATGGTCAGTGTCAAGGTGATATAGACATAAGTATTCCACAACAAAGATGCTTTTTGTTTGATTGAATAATAAAAACACAAATTTACCTCCATACATTTCTCTGTTTTTTTGTCACCAGTAGAAAACGAAACCAAATATTAGTTTATTTAGTTTATTTATTTCTTCATCATCAGTGACGGCATTTCTCTGTTTCTGTGATAAACTTGTGACCTGTCCTGAGTGTAGATGGAGATAGGCACCAGCTCAGCTGTAACATGGAAAAGAAAAACTGGTAAAGAAAATGTGTGTATGGATATAAAGATATAAATATTTGTTAAGTATTACAATGTTATCTTTCCCCAGTCGACCTGTGGCAAACTTTCGAGGTGGACTCCCTGGAGCACCTGGAGGCCACTGAGGAGGTGAATGCTCAGCTGGAGAACAGTGTTATCACGATGGTCACCTAATTTGATCCTTCCACCAGGCGGCAGAGCAAGAGGAGAAGACATATTGAGCAAAATGCCTTGAAACTATTTTAAGATAAATATTCAGTAGTCAATGAAAGATTTGGTTAATCCTTTTCTTTTTGATGTACAGTTTGTTTTTTGTGTCATAATAGGGTGAATAATTTCAAATGTGTTTTTGTGTTTTTCAAATGTGGTTTTAGATTAGCCAAGTGAATAATGTGTGTTTTTTAGCTTTAAAAAGTCTTATTAAACATCAATAACACATGCACAAGTTTATTAGCTGATTTTCAAACATCCCAACTTGCCCACAATTATGTTTCAGCATCGTGCAAAAAAGTTAAAGCCATCACTTCAACTGACTGCAGCATCAAATGCTAAYGAGTCAGGCATAGCTAGTGATATTTTACTCTTTTTATTTTCCTGTAAATCATGTGCTGAATATGAAAACATTAAGGCTGTGCTGTAAGATGATAAAGCAGCGACGCAGTCTGTGTTTTTAAATTCAGATTTTCCAGAATGTCTCCCTTTGGAAAACAGCACAGACAATAAAAATACCCTCCATAATGGCTGCTGCATGGGTGTACTCCTGACCTGAGTGAGGATGTTTTACACCTTTTTTAAATTTTATCTTATACATTTATCTCTACATTTCCACCACCTGAATATCCACCTTTTTCACTACTCTGGATAGTTTTAAAATAAAGAATTCTCTACTGCGTTTGCATCTCCTGTCGACACAGAAGCAAAGATTTTTGGAGAATGGATTTTTAAAAATGAAATCCAAAGTGGAGCTTTTTTTWAAAAAATTGTTTTTAAATTTAATTAAGTCAGTTTTTCCTCTACTAGCATACACTCAAGATTAGGGCTGGGCCATCCAGAAAAAAAACAAACAAAAACAAAACAAACAAACAAAAAGATCATAATGTTTTTCCCATCAATCAATCTCGATTATTATCACAAAAATTTTATTAACCTAAAAAGTGTGTAATTATAAAGTAACTGAAAAACAAGTTAAATAAATAGCTGCAGAAATAAAAAATGGCTGTTATTTCACTTACACTAATACAACAAATAGCTGTGGTTCAGTTGAACATTAAGTTATTTTTGCAAGGGTTTTAAATTATTTACCAAAAAAGAATTTTTACGTGTAAATCATATAATCTCACATTAATAAGGTTTTCCTTTTCTAAAATAAAAGTTTTACAATTGAATTTCATGTTAAATGTGTCATAAAGAAACATAAAACTTACAAACAGCAACAATTTGTGCACACTTGCCTATTGATAGGATCTAAGCTCATTACTTACTTTTCTTTTCATTATTTTTGCTTTGGAGATTCTCCATGAGAAAAAAATCTAATAAACTGACCTCATAACCCTATGATACTATAAGCATAAAATGTGATAATAATAATAACAATAAAGTTTTTTTCYCCACTCCTGTCAGTTTGTACCTCAGTAATCCAATGATACACACAACAATAAATAATGAAAATACAGTGATTGAATGTATTTAATACATTGTTATTGATTTGTATTGTTAACTGTAATTAATTAACTGGAACAAGGTTAAATTATGTCTGACATTCAAATCCTACAGGATGAGTATTTCAGTGTTTTTGTACAAATGTTTGGACAGAATTGTCTTTATTAATTTAATATATTCAGGGTACTGTAGACAGGGCTATCAGTAAAAACTGTTACTCACAAACTCATGAAAATTGGATTTTTGGTTTTAGAGCAGAAACAAGTCTGTTTTTTTAATGTTTGTTTTCTCTGTTTCGTATGTTTGGATATTTGATGTCTGAGCAGCCAAAGTCGCGCTGTACATCACTTGAATAAAGATTTTTGGTTTAGTTCAAATACAGTCAGGTCATTTAAACTAATTAAATGCTTGTTCATCTTTAGTCAAAGGGACGTTTGGTCATTGCTGCTATATTTCTGACTGTTAAAATGGATATACTGTGACACCTTTGGTGCCATTTTTTATATAGATTTTTTTGGTGCTGACACATTTTAAAATGTGTAACTCAACCTTTTGAACCTAATGTAAAGAAAAAAAGCCTCAGTACATTGTGAGTGATGTTCAGTCATTTCAAAATAGTTTTCTATGAGAAACTTGCAGCAGAAACCAGATGTTTACTTACACTGTAAAAAAAATCATTGTTTTCTTACTGTCTTACATTAAACCTAGACCAAACTTTTCCTTTTTTTACATTAGGCAGGATTCACTTTTTTTTATTCAATAAATGCACCAAAAACACGGGAGAAATTTATTTTCATTAGGGACAACCCTAAGCTCTGCTCAGGTATCTGTAAAAGGCTGTATACTTTACATGTGTGCAATATGCTAGAGAAGCTTTGTGTTTAATTTGGGTTTTCAATTAAATACTCTTACAGCACATTTTAACAGCTTTATTCAAAGTCATAACTGCATTATGACAAAGCCTTTTGCTCTTGTTCTGGGATAAGTCTGTTCATTTTTCATGTTTATWAATGGGTTACAAATGTATAGCTACACATCTGTATGTAATGCTGAAATGTGGGGATGTCAAATAATAAAAATCCAACAAAACCCAGCCTTCTTGTTGCTTTCGGGTGTAAAGAACATTCATAATATTACAAAGCAAAGCTAGCATCCTGTTGTCTGAATCCGTGTGTTGTTTTGGATTGTGTAACAGTGTGGAAGCTCGGGTTGTCCTCTGCTGTTACATAAAAACACACAAACAAGGAGCCACATCTGTCAGCAGGGGGCAGCATCGGACACACGTAAAACCAACACGTCGTGATATATTTCTGCTTCAGTTTTTTTGTGTTTGTTCCAGTGAAGGAGAGCAGGAAAATCCCCGCTTAGAGGAGTAAACAGAAAGCTTTAAAGGTGARGACTGTGAGGTTTTCAGGCGTGGAGGAGGAAAACACGGCGACGCTGTTTCTGGGCGTTGATGTTTCGACGATAAACATCCATCCAGCAGTGAGTGCATCTCTCTCCATCACTTCATGTCACCAGGGCTTCACTTTATTTACTGCTGTCTCCTGGTCCTAGAGTTGCTTTAAGGTGCTTACAAATCCAGTACAGGACGTGTTTCAGCTGAAATAACAGCAGGAACGTACTTTCCTCACGTCATTGATGGTCAGTCTTTCACTGTCAGCCTCTTTCCAGAGTCTAACTTCCTGGGTTGGGTTAYAACATGGGAAATGTCTGTGATATAGACAGAAAAGAAATTAATGTAAATAAAATCGTTAAAACGACTCTGGTGGAGGAGCACTTGCACACTGAGACACCCCCGTGTGTGGAGAGACATTGTTTTCATTTTTTTAAAGGACAATATTAGTGATGTTTAACTGTTCAATATGGATCTAGCCAGTGCTTTAAGT